ATTCAATAATTCCTGGTAGCATAAATGAGGTTTTTCTGTCACTAATACCTGGCCCATTGTTAGCTCTTGTATACTTGTTTTCAGAACTTTTCTGTATCTAGTTGAAGTCAACACCCTCTCGTCTATGACGACATTCAGGAAATTCCTCCATTTATCTACCACCAGAATATCTTTCATTTAGACTCCACCCCCTTTGTTAGTTGTTCTCTAGGTTTAAGTAAATTTAATATTGTTAGTTAGTATGTAAGAAACATTCTCATTAAACACATCAACTCAAATTCGCTACTAGTTTTATTTAAAACATTCTAGTAGAACGGTAGTTCAATAACGCAACTTCCGAGTGGTCTCCGGATAATTTTTTATCTTACGACTGCACAAAACAGCTCCTACAAAAATAAAAATGTTTGTGGTGCCCATTTTGAAGACGAATTCTTTAAAAATATTAAACAGAATCGTTTAACCTCTGAAGCCTTTCCGTCTAGGTAAATAGTTTGGTACTTTCTAAGGTGTAATAAAGCAGTAATGCATATAAAATTTATATATTTGTCCTTAACCTCAACATTTCTTATTTTGTATCATGTGACTTCACAAACCCTCCAAAAGCTGTTTAGCTTGACATCAAGGAAGATGAAGCTTATAAAGGAGACCAAGTTTCTTCAAAAATCACTAAAGAAAACATTTGAAGATATCATAAAATTTTATGAAGAAAATTGCAATTAAGGAACTGTAAATTTTATTAAAAGGCAGTTTCAGTTGCGAAAACGATACCCACAAGGATTTAGATTTAAGCTGTTTGCGCTACATATTTATTTCCTTGAGCTAAACGTTTATCGCAGTTTAGCGAAAACTTTTTATTTGCCATCTAAATCAACTCTTTGCAGAATAATCAGCAAACGGGAAGTGACACCACCACTAAATGACTTTATTTTAGTGTTGTGAAAAGTAGTAAAATGGATACAATGACGGATTTGGCAAAGGACTGTGTAGTTTGTGCTGATGAAGTTAGTTTAAAAACAAATTTATTTATAGTACAAAGACAGAATTGTAGGATTCCATTGTATGAATGCACAAAGACAATACATGCCTGCGAATACTGCTTTAGTATTAATGATAAGGGGTATTCATGTAAATTGGAAGCAGTCGATTGCATATTTCGTAATTAATGGTTCTTGTCCAGTGCATGACTTGCAAAAGATTATCATCGAAACTTCGATTGTAAAACTGCAAGACATTGGATTAAATGTAGCAGTATTTATTACAGATCAAGGATCAAAATTTATTCACTTATCCAGTAAGTTAGGTGAGTCCTCAAAAAACTTATTCTTAGATTGACGGTCAGGCATTTTTTTATTTATTTGACACTCCTCAATTTATTCAAATCAACACGAAATCAAGCACAAGTAAAGCATTTCTTGAACATTTTTAAACTTGAGACAAGCAACAAACGTTTCGGTTGGCAACTAAATTAACTGATGGCAACATACATCCCAACAACTTCGAGCGGATGAAAGTAAAATTAGCAGCTCAAGTTGAGTATCACCGTGGCTGCTAATTGCACATATATTGCATTGAATGAACTTCCTGCAACGGCGATGGCAACTGCAGTGTTTATTTCCAAAATTGATAAACTGTTCGACATATTAAATATAGTAA